GTCGTAACGGACGTCGCTGGGTATCACTCAGCTAGTCTGGCCTAACTAGTGGCGGTTAGCACACAAATAGGAAGTAGGAGATCACCCGTTATGGATTAGGATTCATTTCTGCTGTTCATACCAGGACATCATAGGCCAGGATCACACATTTAACTTCAAAGTCGTTACCCTCGTGTGCTTCAAACTTATTTCTGCCCAACGGCAATGCTAAGTTCCCTCGTCTTTCATTAGCCATATGCACTTTAACTCTTAAACCTAGAGCACCACCCATCTTTCCTTGTAAGATGTGTGATAGCTTAAACATTTCAGCTGGTATGCAACACCTGCCTTTGCACAATCAATTAATCTCGTAGGGGCAAATAATGTAACATTCTGATATGCGTTCTATATCGTAAAACCTATTCCTTACCAACTGTCTTTTAATGCTGTCTGCTGATGTTGTATGTTAACAAGCATAACATCATTTTGCAGTTGGGTTCGAACTATGCATTGTTTGATTGCCGCCTACGTTGGTCCGTAATAAATGGGATATGAGGTCGTCCTCTACAACTTGATTTCGCATGTGTAACCGTTGCTCCTTCAATCTCTGCAGCCTTTCGAGACGACTCGTTCTTCTTCGCCCGTACATACTCTTACAGCAGATCTAACCTTGTTACGAATAATAGCGCGTCTCGTAGCTGTAAGATGTGCTGAGTTGGCTTTAAGGAAGATGTTCTTTGAGCTTTTTGCGGCACCATTTTATGTTAATGATATTACCAGATGGTTTTATCTGGGTGGGTCCGTTGCTTGTACCTTGGACAAAGTATGGACTACGCGGTGTGAGAGGAGATCTTGATAGCATAGTAGTAGATCAAAAGTGAGATCCGTTTGCTTTCGAAAAAGATGGGAACATCGAAACGGAATAACGGCTCCACTAACACCGGGCTTTGGCAAGATATCTCAAAGCAACAAGATTTGGATTTCTTTTTCTCTGAAGCTTTGGGAAGCGAATAGACTAAAAACTTTCATCTTCGCTTGATTTATTTAAAGAT